AGTGGCTGCATCCTGAAGCACTGTGCTGAGCAGCTAGGGGGCGTGTTTCAGACCCTGTTCCAGAGCTCTATGGACAGCAGCACAGTCCCCCAGCTGTGGAAACACTCCACAGTTATCCCCATCCCCAAGAAAAGCCCCGCCAAATCACTGAATGACCTCAGGCCTGTGGCCCTCACGTCTCTGGTGATGAAGGCCATGGAGAGGATCATTAAACCGACTCCCAGATGGACCCGCTACAATTTGCTTATCGTGCAGGCAGAGTTGTCGATGATGCAAAAACATTCATCATAGACACTGTTCAAAAACACCTGGAGCACCCCAACACCTCAGCCAGACTCCTGTTTGCAGACTTCTCCTCTGCATTCAACACCCTGCAGCCTCACATCCTGGCTGACAAACTTTCAACTTGCTTCCATCTGAACGACCAGCTCATCCTGTGGATATTGGACTTTCTGACCAACAGATCACAGAGAGTTCTGGCCAACAACACCTTCTCCAACCTCCAACACATCTCAACTGGCTCCCCTCAGGACTGTGTGCACTCACCTCTGCTCTAAGATTAAGATTCACTTTATTGATCCCCGCAAATTTCAGTTTTTCAGTTTTTACACTCTGTAAGTCATGAGCACACACATAGGCTGAAATATACACAGACATGTAGAAACAGGATCCTATGGACTAATATAACAGAGTGAGCTCCTAAGCTGATGGTGGGGAGGGGGTTGTCCTGCTCAAGGGCACCTCGGCAGGGCTCAGGAGGTGATCTGGCACTTCTCCAGCTACCAGACCAACTTCCATATTTGGTCCACACCGGGACTTGAACCGGCAACCCTCCAGTTACCAACACAAGTCCCTACAGACTGAGCTACTGCCACCCATGCTCTTCATCCTCTACACCGATGACTGCAGAACCACACAGCCAAACTGTCACCTGGTGAAGTACGCAGACGACACAGTTCTCTCTGCTGTCAGGCCCCTCTCAGCACCATGGACCAGTTCTTCAGGAGTTTGTGGAGTGGTGTGACAGCTCCTGCCTCGAACTGAACGTGAGCAAGGCCAAAGACATGGTGGTGACCTTCTCCAACAAACAGAGGGAACTGGCTGCATCAGCAATCACCACAATCCATGGGAATCCTGTTGAACTAGTAGAGGAGTATAAGTACCTGGGTACCATCTTCGACAGCCCGCTGAAATCCGCCTCCAACACCGAGGAGATTCTCAGGAAATGTCAGCAGCGGAAATACCTCCTAAGGAAGCTCAATTCCTTTGGAGTCAGTAAGAACATTCTTCTGACCTTCTACTACTCCTTCATTGAGAGCATTATTATTTTTTCTATAACCTGCTGGTTCCACTCCACCACCCTCCAGAACAGAAACCGCCTGCAGAGCACGGTCACAGTCTGCTCTAAGATCATTGGACTACCTGTAAGGACTTTGACATCCATCTATGAGCAACAGACAATCAGGCTAGCAGGTCGGATCATGCAGGACTCCTCACACGCTCTCTTCCCAGCGTTTGAGTGGCTCCCCTCAGGATGCCGGCTTCGCTGTCCCTGCTGCAGGACACAGAGGAGAAGAGCAACCTTCGTTCCCAGGGCTGTCCAGCTCCTCAACTCCTAACCCCCCCCCCAACAGACACCAACACCTCTCACCCAATGCAGACTCTCAGCTGTGAACTTCCTTTATATTTGCCATGCACCTTAACTGCCTCTGCTTTATCTGGTCTCATGCACTACATCACTTTATTCTATCCTTTCTATTTCAGTATTCATACAGTTCTGGTTAATTTATTCCTGTTGTTCTTATCCATCATTGCACTACGGTCACTTTATTTATCTCATATTTACCTTTACAGTTATATTGTATATATTAGTTCTGTTGTTCCATTATTCACCATGCACCTTAATAACTTATCATTTAGTATTTGCCTACTTGCACATAGCTCTGTATATATATATTTATTTCTCATTTACTGCACATAGTTCTGTATATATATATATTTATTTCTCGTTTACTGCATATAGTTCTGTTTACATCTGGTCACTACTGCACATAGTTATGGTTACATCTGTTTACATCTGTTTGTCCGATCACAGTCCACTTATATCTACTCTTTTATATTTTGTATTTTTAAGTTAAGTTTAAGCTTTAAGTTGTATTTAAACTGACACTTTATATTTAGGTTAAAATATTTCGTTTACTTGCACTGTTGTTAATTTACTGCTCTGTGTAAAACAGGAAACACTGAAAAACTTAATTTGGGAATCTGAGAAACATGCAGAGGGATTAAAGCAACACAAGAGAGTTCCTGAGATCGGTCTACATGGTCCCAGGCCGTCCTAGGCTCAGAGGTGATTGTGCCTTTCAGCCCCTAACCCAGGGGTCATCATCAACATGTGCTTTATTTCTTGACAGACAATGCGAGAGCTGGACTTTAAAAATATAATCCTGACAGCTGTCTCCGATGGGAAGACGTTTGTGTCCCCTAATGCAAGTTTTTCAGCATGGGGATTTAATTTTTATGTTTATTGTTTAATCACCAAAGATCATTTATGGGAAGCATTGGCCAGTTAATGATCACTGCCCTAAACCATGGAACAGCCCCCCCCCAACCCCCTCCATCAGGTCTGCACCCTCTGTGGACTCCTTTAAGTTTCTCCCTTAAAAACTTATTTTACATGTTTCAGTCCTGTGGTCGTGATTCTTGTTTCTGTGTTCTTGTTATCGTTGTAAACTTCTGTATTATCTTTATTAATGCATCGTTAGGGGCATGTCCAGAGGGCCTCCCTCAAGAATTTGATTGGCCACCCCAAAAATCCTAAATTGTCGCTCTTTGCCCTGTCAGAGGCGGGACTTATGTCAAAACTACTGTATTCAATTCAATTCAATTCAAAATATTTTATTTGTCCCCAGGGGGCAATTCGAAGGCACACAGTGCAGTAAATTAACAACAGTGCAAGTAAACGAAATATTTTAACCTAAATATAAGTGTCAATTTAAATACAACTTAAAGCTTAAACTTAACTTAAAAATACAAAATATAAAAGAGTAGATATAAGTGGACAGTGATCGGACTAACAGATGTATATGTGCTCTGTATATATATAGGAGGAAAATAAAGTTTAGGTTGAACACCGAGTAAAAATGTTCTTGATTCAGAGAAGAGGCAGAGACCTTTAAAAAGTCTCCAGACCCACCTCATTAGAAGGTTACTCAGCACCATCTAGTGGTATGACAGCAACAGGACTACAACAGGAATACAAAGGACTGCAACAGGAATACAAAGCGGCGTCTTACAGACTGAGACGAGCAGTGAGTGCTCTGGCTGACGAACTTAATGACTTTTAATTTGAGGCTAACGCTAGCACCGCTAACGTTAGCATGCCAATTGATGCAGGCAGCAGGATCTCCGAGGCTGGAGCGGCACACTCGCACCTGCTCTCTGTGTCAGAGCACGACGTCTGGAGGACACTGAGAAAGGTAAACACCAGGAAGACTGCCGGGCCAGATGGTATCTCTGGCAGAGTGCTGAAGTCCTGTGCCGACCTGTTAGCTCCAGTGTTTACCACCATCTTCAACCTCTCCCTGAGTCAGTCTGTGGTCCCATCTTCAATCTCTCCCTGAGTCAGTCTGTGGTCCCATCTTCAACCTCTCCCTGAGTCAGTCTGTGGTCCCATCTTCAACCTCTCCCTGAGTCAGTCTGTGGTCCCATCTTCAACCTGAGTCAGTCTGTGGTCCCATCTTCAACCTCTCCCTGAGTCAGTCTGTGGTCCCATCTTCAACCTCTCCCTGAGTCAGTCTGTGGTCCCATCTTCAACCTCTCCCTGAGTCAGTCTGTGGTCCCATCTTCAACCTGAGTCAGTCTGTGGTCCCATCTTCAACGTCTCCCTGAGTCAGTCTGTGGTCCCATCTTCAACCTGAGTCAGTCTGTGGTCCCATCTTCAACCTCTCCCTGAGTCAGTCTGTGGTCCCATCTTCAACCTGAGTCAGTCTGTGGTCCCATCTTCAACCTCTCCCTGAGTCAGTCTGTGGTCCCATCTTCAACCTCTCCCTGAGTCAGTCTGTGGTCCCATCTTCAACCTCTCCCTGAGTCAGTCTGTGGTCCCATCTTCAACCTCTCCCTGAGTCAGTCTGTGGCCCATCTTCAACCTCTCCCTGAGTCAGTCTGTGGTCCCCACATGCCTGAAAAAAGCCATTATTGTCCCTGTACCGAAGAATGCCTCTCCAGCTTGCCTTAATGACTATCGCCCAGTAGCACTCACCTCAGAAGGGATGAAGTGCTTTGAGGGACTCATCAAGATGCAAATCTGCTCCTTGCTCCCGAGTCTCTGGATCCACTTCAGTTCGCATACAGACTGAACAGATCCACAGATGATGCTGATGCCCAGGTACTGCACACCACCCTCACCCATCTGGACAGAAGGAAGGGGGACTATGTGAGACTGCTGTTCATTGATTTTAGTTCAGCTTTCAACACCATAGTCCCCGCCAACCTCCATTCCAAGCTGATCAACCTCGGACTTAACACCTCCCTATGTGCTTGGATCCTGGACTTCCTGACGAAAAGATCCCAGGTGGTCAGAGTGGGCAGACACACCTCCAGCCCCTGCACCCTCAATACCAGAGCACCACGAACATTGTCCAACCTGCTCCTGAACGTCAGCAAAACCAAGGAGCTGATTGTGGACTTCAGAAGAGGACAGCAGAGGGATTACACCCCACTGAGAATTGATGTGACGCTGGTGGAGAGGGTGTGCAGCTTCAAGTACCTGGGGGTGCACATCTCTGAGGATTTAACATGGACAACCCACATAGACAGTCAGGTGAAGAGGGCGAGGCAGCGCCTCTATCACCTCAGACAGCTGAGGAAATTCAAAGTCTCTGTGAAGGTCCTGAGCGGTGGAGAGTGTGCTGACTGGAAACATCACCCAGTGGTACGGGAACAGCACTGGGTGTGACCGAAGAGCCCTGCAGAGGGTGCTGAAGTCAGCAGAGCGTACCATGGGTACAACACTCCCCACCATCCAGAACTTCACAAGGAGGAGCACAGCCAGGGCAAAGAGGATCATGAGTGATCCCCACCACCCAGGTAACGGACTGTTTACATGGCTACCCTCTGGCAGGCGCCTTCGACACATCAAGGCGAACACAGAAAGACTCAGGAAGAGCTTCTTTCCTCCGGCTGTCCGGACTGTTAACTCCACTCTCCTCAGTTAAAAACAAAACAGAACTGTGACTACATGATGCACACACACCACACATTCCAATCTGCACATTGCACTTTGACACCCTGGACACACTGACACTTTACACTGTTTACCTTACTCTATATTTTATATTTTGTACATTCAAATAATTCTTTTATTTATTTTTTACATTATATTTTATTTTATTGTATATATGTGTATTAGTAATCTGAGTGTTATTGCATGGCCTAGCGGAAAAAGTCCTTACATTTCACTGCACATCTGTATGAGCATGTGACAAATAAAAATCTTGAATCTTGAATCTTGAATCTTGAATATATTTATTTGGGGGTGTCATATGTAATTTTTAGACAAAATGCCGTTTGTTTCGATGTGGTGGAAATGACATTAGTTCATTAAGGGTCAGATAATATGTCAAAAATGACCAAATGATGTTTTTGATGGCAGTTCAACCACTCTTGTATTTTAAAACTAGGCAAATTAGACAATCTTATGGGACTTTGATGAGTGTGATTTGGAAGTTCACAGGGCCAAAAGTGCACCTAGTTGAAGAAACACCCATAAATGATCTTTGGTGATTAAACAATAAACATAAAAATGAAATCCCCATGTTGAAATTCTCGCATTAGGGGACACAAACGTGATCCCAGTACTACAACACTACCTGTTAAAGTTTAAATATATAAATGTCTTAGTCCTCTGACGACCTACAGCACAGAAGCACCTGTTTTTATCTCTTTTTACGGCTCGACCCAAACAGGATTAACCAGAAACTTCTTAATTCAGAACTCTGCAGCCTCGGGCAGTTCATTTCTTTCCAGGTGACCCCAGTTAAGTCCTTAAGAGGTCAGGGGGTTTAGTGAGGAAATGGAGACTCAGCCGGAGTGAACATACTGAGAGCTGATTGATCTCCAATTAGCTCTCAGTAGGTTCGATTTGGTTCATTAGAAGGTTACTCAGCACCATCTAGTGGTGTGACAGCAGAACTACATCATGTGATCAGCATGTTCTCTGACTGTGTCTCCACCACAGGTTAGACTGGTTCTGACATCACCCTGAAGTTATGAGGGGGTGACGGCGTCCTCAGATCAAACACACACCCACCCCGGGACTGAGGATCGAGCAGCTGTTCGTCTCCACACATGAAGGTGTCTGTGAGCTGACCTGAACTACCTTCAACAGGTGAGAATCCTTCCAGAGTCTCCACATGTTTGATGATCAGGGTCACTGAACGCACGTTGTACTCCATCACTGGTTAACTGTAGAGATGTTTCTGGATGCTGATTGGCTGTTTGAAACATGTTGAAGGATTTCTCTCTGAGTTACAGAACCGTGTTTTAGAAAGATTGAGGGCCTCTATAGTTTGTGTTTGTGGAGTAGAACCAGCAGCAGTTTGATTAAAGTCTGAGTCGCACCACCAGGAAACAAGGCAGGGCGAGTCTGAACCCGTCTGAGAGTCTGAATCGCTCTGAGAGTCTGAATTGGTCTGAGATTCTGAACCGGTCTGACAGCCAGTTTATAGTTTTTGTTTATAGTATTTTTTAATTGTTGACACACTGAAGTGAAGAGAGTGGATGAAGAGTTCAGAGTTCAAATATCTTCCAAAACTGACTCGGTGTCACTGAAGACCCTTCAGCACGGTCCAGGTCTCAACTGTCCCCAAATCCTGTCTGGATGGACCAGATCCAGACCAGAATGAGGTGGACTGAGTGTTTGTGTAAGGCCCCTCCCCCGCTATCAGGGGCAGAAACAGAAACTGAGACCGTAGCTGTGTCAGGTTTTTATTCCACACGTTTGGCTCATCAGATCCTCTTTGGGGCTCCAACAGGGTTTCTGTCAGTCCTGGATCTTTGAGTCATGTTACTGAGAGGACAGAGAACTGATGTGTCCCTGTGATGTGATGTTTGTGTGAAGGTTGGGGCTCTGCTATGAATCAGTCTGAGGACAGAGACGAGGGAGCCCCTCCCTCTAAATCCACTCTGTGTGGGGAACATGAAGACCAGACCAGGTGAGGATCTCTAACTGTCCATGACTCTACTCCATGTTGGAGCTCAGAACTCACTGATCTCTCCACCTTCATTATTCACTCAAAGCTCTCTCTCGCTCTCTCTCTCTGTGTTGTAGACCAGAGCAGCAGAACAGACCTGGACCTGGACCTAGATCTAGATCGAGTTTGTCTGTAAAGAACCTAGTTTTGAAGTTTGAATCTCATGATTTCAAAGATGGACAACAGCATGCCAATAAAATGTAAGGATGTAATTTACGTTTTAAACATTGTTAACAAACTTTTCAAAGACGTGTTTTATAAAACTGAAAAACATTGTTACTCGTTCACCTTCATTATTAACACTCAAAGCTCTGTGTGTGTTGAAGCCCAGAGCAGCCACTAAGACCTGGACCTAAACTTGATCCTGATCCTGATCCTGATCCTGATCCTGAACCTGAACCTGATCCTGAACCTGATCCTGAACCTGAACCTGAACCTGAACCTGAACCTGAACCTGAACCTGATCCTGATCCTGATCCTCAACCTAAACCTGAACATGAACATGAACATGAACATGAACATGATCCTGGTGAAACTATAGACTTCAAAGATCGACGGCGCTTTTCTGATGAGGTGTAAGAATGTAGATAGTTTGTCTCACATTGTGGACTAACTGGAGTCCAAACAACCAATCTTTGTCCAGACCTGAACCTGAACCTGCTCCCAGCTGTGTGTAGTTCAAGAGGGACTGGTCTATAGATTGATGTATCAGCACTCACTGATCACTCCACCTTCATTATTCACACACATAATGCTCTCTCTCTCTCTCTCTCTCTCTCTCGAAGACGAGGGCCTAGACCTGCATCTAGATCTAGACCTGGACCTGGACCTGCTCCCAGCTTGGGATCCCTGAAAAGTGAAAAGTCTATTGAGCGATTTGATGACTTCAAAGATGGACACGAGTTTGAAAATCCAAAGTAAGTATTTTCGAGGTCCGATGACTGAAAGCTCTACTTCCCATAGTACATTTAGAGACCGTAGGGACCACGAGCAGACCTGATAACTGAAGGCTCTACCTCCCATAGTACAATTAGAGACTGTAGGTACCACGAGCAGGCCTGATAACTGAAGGCTCTACCTCCCATAGTACATTTAGAGACTGTAGGTACCTGAGCCGGTCTAATAACTTAAGGCTCTACCTCCCACAGTACATTTAGAGACTGTAGGTACCACGAGCAAGTCTAACAACTGAAGGCTCTACCTCCCATAGTATATTTAGAGACTGTAGGTACCATGAGCAAGTCTGATAACTGAAGGCTCTACCTCCCATAGTACATTTAGAGACCATAGGGACCACGAGCAGGCCTGATAACTGAAGGCTCTACCTCCCATAGTACATTTAGAGACCGTAGGGACCACTAGCAAGCCTGATAACTGAAGGCTCTACCTCCCATAGTACATTTATAGACCATAGGGACCATGAGCAGGCCTGATAACTGAAGGCTCTACCTCCCATAGTACATTTAGAGACTGTAGGTACCACGAGCAGGCCTGATAACTGAAGGCTCTACCTCCCATAGTACATTTAGAGACCGTAGGGACCACTAGCAAGCCTAATAACTGAAGGCTCTACCTCCCATAGTACATTTAGAGACTGTACCATGAGCAGGCCTGATAACTGAAGGCTCTACCTCCCATAGTACATTTAGAGACTATACCACGAGCAGGCCTGATAACTGAAGGCTCTACCTCCCATAGTACATTTAGAGACTGTAGGGACCACGAGCAGGCCTGATAACTGAAGGCTCTACCTCCCACAGTACATTTAGAGAATGTTGGTACCACGAGCAGGCCTGATAACTGAAGGCTCTACCTCCCATAGTACATTTAGAGACCATAGGTACCACGAGCAGGCCTGATAACTGAAGGCTCTACCTCCCATAGTACATTTAGAGAATGTTGGTACCACGAGCAGGCCTGATAACTGAAGGCTCTACCTCCCATAATACATTTAGAGACCATAGGTACCACGAGCAGGCCTGATAACTGAAGGCTCTACCTCCCATAGTACATTTAGAGACCGTAGGGACCACTAGCAAGCCTAATAACTGAAGGCTCTACCTCCCATAGTACATTTAGAGACTGTACCATGAGCAGGCCTGATAACTGAAGGCTCTACCTCCCATAGTACATTTAGAGACTATACCACGAGCAGGCCTGATAACTGAAGGCTCTACCTCCCATAGTACATTTAGAGACTGTAGGGACCACGAGCAGGCCTGATAACTGAAGGCTCTACCTCCCACAGTACATTTAGAGAATGTTGGTACCACGAGCAGGCCTGATAACTGAAGGCTCTACCTCCCATAGTACATTTAGAGACCATAGGTACCACGAGCAGGCCTGATAACTGAAGGCTCTACCTCCCATAGTACATTTAGAGAATGTTGGTACCACGAGCAGGCCTGATAACTGAAGGCTCTACCTCCCATAATACATTTAGAGACCATAGGTACCACGAGCAGGCCTGATAACTGAAGGCTCTACCTCCCATAGTGCTTCCCCAACTTTGGTGAATGTCAGAATCGTCCTAAAAACATTAAAAAGATAAATGTAGTTCAACAACAGTTGGTGAATGAGGCTCAGTAGTCCAAACCACCGATCTTTGTACAGACCTGAACCTAGACCTGCTCTCAGTTGTGTGTCCTTCAAGAGTGACCGGTTTATAAGCAATCACTGATCACTCCACCTTAAATATTCACACTCAAAGCCCCCCCCCCCCTCTCTCTCTCTTTGTGTTGAAGACAACAGAAGCAGGAAAGACCTAGACCTAGACCTAGACCTAGACCTGCACTTAGACCTAGACCTGGACCTGGACCTGCTCCCAGCTTGGGGTCCCTGAAAAGTCAGAAGTCTATTGAGCGATTTGATGACTTCAAAGATGGACACGAGTTTGAAAATCCAAAGTAAGCATTTTCTCCCACAGTTTGTTCTCAGTGTTAAAATCATGTGAACTTTGACCTCATTCACCAACATCTTCCTCATTTGTTCTCCTGAGTGTGTTCTCAGGACGATCTTAAGAAAAGTCAGATTGATGAAGCTGTGGTTAAACGGATGTAGTGTGTCATGATTTGGTCTTGTTTAGTTTTGTTTTTTGAATATTTTCAGAGTTTAGATTTTCAGAGTTTAGATTTTCTTGTTCAAGTTTGACTCATTCTTCCTTCTTCTTCCTTCTTCTTCCTGTTTCTTTATCTTAAGGTTTCCTAGTTTAGTCTTTAGTGTTTCCTGTTTTATTTTGTAGTTTTTATCCCCAGTGTTTTGCCCAACAGAGGGGGTAGTCGTACGCTGTCAGCACACATTCCGCATGTGGTCCATTCTTCCAAGCGTTACCGCTACAACAGTTAATGATAATCACAACAATCCAAAAATCCTCTTCTCAACCATTGACCGTTTAGTCAACCCTGTTTTTAATCAACCTTCCACTCTGTCTACAGACTTATCATGTGAAGAGCTTGCAGTCCACTTCATAATTAAAATAAATTTCATTAGATCAAATCTGTCCCACTATCAGCCTGCAAACTTTAACACTCAAGAATCCTTGTTTTTAAATGAGGAAACACTAGAGAAATTTGTCCTGGTTGATGAGGAAATGCTTGGCATATTATTTCTCAACTTAGACCGGCAACCTGCCTTTTAGATCCCATCCCAACATAATTTTTTTAAAATGATTATGCCTTTTGTAATTCCAACCTTCTTAACATTATCAACTATTCTCTTCAGATGGGTGTTTTCCACACTGCTTTTAAAACTGCCACAGTTAAACCTCTTCTGAAGGGAAACAATTTGGATGCATCTTTACCAGGTAACTTCATACCAATGTCCAACCTGCCATTTTTAAGTGAAATTTTATAGAAATTTGTTTTTAATCAGTTAAATGATTTTATGAAGTCCAGCATCATGTGTGAATTGTTTCAATCTAGTTTTAAGAAAAATCACAGCAGAGAGACAGCGCTAGTCAAAAACGACCTCAGGTCTAACATGGAAAAAAACATGCCCTCTGTTTTAGTTCTACTTGACCTGAGTGCCGCCTTTGATAGGTTAGACCACACAATTCTGGTGGATCGATGGTGCTGGGCTCTTCGTTCTTTTATTCTTTGAGTCCTCAGTTTGAATTTCACTCGACATGATTGTAACATTGCTGCTTTTAATAATCCCCACAGTCTCAGAAAATATGAGGCATACTGGTTCTCTGGTCCATTGTCCTTTGTCTACTTGTCTCATTTTAGAGCATGTCATGTCTACTTTTACCTGAGTCTCTCTCACACACACCTGGCTCCTCATGAGTTTCTGTATTGTCACGCACCCTCGTGGTCCATTGTTCTGTTGTTGTTTCAGTGGTCTGTAAAAATTGATCCACATGTGAAGAACATCTGCTCCTCTACTGCCTTCTTCAGGTCTTTTTCTCTCAGATAAAGTGACAGAATAAGGAGGACGGTGCACACAGATGAGTTTGAGCCCGTTTCTCTGTCACAGAGACAAACTGAGGGACACTGCTTCATGTTGAACAGCAGTTAGGAGTCATGTTGGACAGACAATCACTGTGACTGTGTTTCTTCCTCCAGGATGGACCATGGTGGAGAGCAGAGGTCAAAACCTGGTGTGAAGAAGTGTAAGTGTGGAATCAGTTTGACTCATGATGACCAAACAGCTGACTGTCAGGTGACAAAGAATGAAGCCTTCAGGTGTGTCTGATGATAAACTCCTGCTTTGTGTCTTTTTATCTCCGTCAGATTTCTGTGAACTCACACTGGATCCAAACACAGCACACAGAAACCTCAAACTGTCTGACAACAACAGGGAGGTGACACGTGTGACAGAGGATCAGTCATACCCTGATCATCCAGACAGATTTGACAAATATTCTCAGCTGCTGTGTAGAAATGGTCTGACTGGTCGCTGTTACTGGGAGGTTGATTGGAGAGGAGATGTTGACATATCAGTGTCTTACAGAGGAATCACAAGGAAAGGTGACAGTGATGACTGTATGTTTGGATGGAACGATCAGTCCTGGAGTCTGAACTGCTGTGATGAAGGTTTCTCTGCTTGGTACAATGGTAGCAGAACAGCCCTCCCTCTCTCCTCGCCCTCTGTCTCTCACAGAGTACCAGACCTCCCTCTCTCCTTGTCCTCTGTCTCTCACACAGTAACAGCCCTCCCTCTCTCCTCCTCCTCTGTCTCTAAGAGAGTGACAGTCCGTCCTCTCTCCTCATTATCTGTCTCTAACAGAGTAAAAGACCTCCTTCTCTTCTCCTCCTCCTCTGTCTCTAACAGAGTAGCAGTGTATGTGGACTGTCCTGCTGGCTCTCTGTCCTTCTACAGAGTCTCCTCTGACACACTGATCCACCTCCACACCTTCAACACCACATTCACTGAACCTCTGTATCCTGGTTTTGGTTTTCAGTATTGTACTTCTTCAGTGTCTCTGTGTTCTCTGTAGGAGGGACTTCAGTCCTGGAGTCTTTATGTTGGTGGACGAGCAGGGCTTTCTTTTTGTTTGTTTGTTCAAAGATCGGTTGGTTATTATTATGGTATTGTTGGGGGGCTAGCCAGATGAGAAAAAAAACACTGATTTCCAGCATGCCCTGCAAAAACCCTCCTGGTACCTGAAGAACAAGGACACACAAGAAACTCCTTTTGCACCCACAAAGGCAGTAGAGCATTGCTCTTAAATGGTTCTCCATGCTGCCTTTTCCCCTCTTCATCAACTGAGTTAAGCTCAAGCTAACCTTGCAATGATAACCAGGAAAGTTTTTTCCAAGGTAAGATGGGGGGAGCAGAGATGGAGTAAGGCTTTTGTCTAAGCAGAATAGTTTAGGAAGGTTTAATCACAACTGATAATTGTGCATTATTGTTGACTGAACGTCACATTCTGTTTACTATCTGCTGTAGGCTGAAGCATTTGTTGTATTTTTGCTGAACCATCGTGTTCGCCTTTCTGTGTGTTTATTTACTGCTGTTTTAGCTTACGCTCTGTTAAATGCTTCCACAATCAGAAAGACCAGTGGATCTGCCGTTGAATCAAAGTCCGGCCACTGGCTTTCTGGTGTTTAAGTTATAGTTACTGAATTTAGTTCAGGGAGCTCAAGCTAAGCCACACGGCTTACTTTGTCTCTGCCCACCATCTTGTCCCATGTGACGTCCCCACATGGTGCTCTTTCTCCATTTAGGGTACAGCGTCGATGGACAACCATGTGGATTGTCACCATCTTGCCTTCTCTCCCTCTCTCTTTTTCTAACACACACACACACACACACACACACACACACACACACACACACACACACACACGTGTGCAACTCTGTTTGTAGATATTTTATGAGCTGTAGTTTAGTTTATTGATTGAGTTTCATTAATTGCAGTTGATGTTGCTTTGTTAAATAAATTATATATTATATTATATAATAAATATAATTATGTTATGATTTAAAGAGCAGTTGTCTGTGATTACTGGTGGATGTGCATTGTAATTAAGCTGGGTGGAAAAACTTGTGTACGAAGTCACACCTATTCAATAAAATACAGGTATTAATTAAATATTAATGATATAGGATAGGATAATACTTTATTGATCCGCAGAGGGGAAATTCTGGGGTTACAGCGGCACAAAAACAGTTGAAAAGGTCATAGAAAATACAATAAAAATGAATATATGATCTGTCTTTCCACAAGTGAAAGTGTACATAGTGTATATGCCTGGTATTATTGTATTTCTATTGTATTTTTCTTCCTTTATTTATTTAATGTAAACATGTTTGTTGTTGTTTTATTACGCTTTTTGCTATTGATGCTGTTTATATTCCTGTATTTGAGCTGTTTTAACAACAAAATTTTCCCCATTGTGGATCAATAGGTTTTTTAAAACTCATCTTGTCTATCATGGGGTAATGTTTATGCTGGTGAAGTGGTTGTCAGCACAGACTGGTGTTGTTGTCAGACTGCTGTTGTACAGTCTAATGGCGGTGGGCACAAAGGAGCGCCTGAAGTTCTCTGTTTTGCACCTCGGTGGAATGAGGTGTTGGCTGAAAAAGCTGCTCATCTGCCACAGCTCATCATGGAGAGGGTGAAGGAGTTATCAAAGATGGATATGATTATTGAATTAATTTGAGACTGATTTTGGTGCAATTTGGTTATTGTTCCCTGCTTTTAGGGCAGTACCCCACTTTTATTAACTACATTTAATAATATTGTTAATTTATATTAATAATTAATTAAGGATACTTATTAATATGATTTTTTATGACCAACTTTGACTAGATAAAACCTAACATAGTTGTTATGTTATGCGTATGCACTGTTTGTGAACAAGGCCCAATAAGGGCAATCAAAACTGGAGGGAAACACAGAGGCAGGAAGTTAGACAAGAAACACTGAGGTTCTCAGCTTTGAGGTGTATTAGCTCTGCAAAACCCCAACATAATGGTGCCCCGTGTGAGGTCCTCAATAAACCATCTTCATCATATTTTAATACTGAAAAAAAGAAATGTATTTCAGTTTTAATACTTGCAACAATCCACAAGTGTGCTTTAACAACCTCTCTCCCTCAGTTTTCCTCATGCAGCTCTCTCAGTGCGCTGGTAGGTCACCGCCCACTCGCTCACATTTTCTCTCTCTCTCTCTCTCTCTCTCTCTCTCTCTCTCTCTCGACCTGCTCACTCCATGCGTGCTCAACTTTGCCAGTTCGCTCGCTCAACACTGCAAGCTGTTACAAATGTGCCACAAAATCAACCAAGAAGTGCTGTTCTGCTAAAGCTCAGAGCGATAAAAACATTAATTCAGGAAAGTTTTTCACAATAAAAGCCCCTTATTGCCATCTCTTTGATGTACTTTTAATTTGAAGCAGACATATCCGGACACCAGGTGTTTTTAATCTGTAGCAACTTAACAGAACTCACGAGTGTGAAAATCAAAACTTCAAATCAGATTCAGTTAGAAGCTTTATTGTAGCCAGCTTAGAGGGGAATGCAATGACTTATAAAAATATCTCATAGAAGCTCATACAGGGTCCATTGAAAACAATCAATCCATTATTTTGACTCTCAGGACTTTCAGTATTTTCTTCAATAGTTTCAACATTTCCATTCATAAATCAGCCCATCACCTGAACATTATAGGCCTCGATTATTAGACATCATGAAACATGCTGCTGGTTAAAAAACAGTGTCCTGTTGTCTATGTTGATGTTTTTGTAAAGAACATGTTTCTCTGAAAACACTCTTGTTACAGTTTTTAGCTTTTGTCTTTTGTATGCAATATTAATTTCCTTCACAAGTCACAAACTTTTTAATTGATTATCTGAACAAACTACTTTTGTTTGGTTTTAGACTTTTAAAAGAATTTTTTAATATCATGCTACAAGTTTTTGTCTTGTGTTACAAAATGATCAACCTTTGTAGCAGCAGTGCTATGAGCACAAAAAGTGAACGTACAGCCCCAGGTTGTTTGAAGGTCAGGAGAAGGACTTTGAACTTGATTTCTTGGGGAAACGGGAGCCAGTGGAGGTTGTGGTGGCCAGGGGTAATGTGGTCACAGGAGCGGGAGTGTGTGAGCAAACTGGCAAGTTGTGAAGTGTATTGAGGACTTTGGATGATAACCATAGTGAAGGCTATTACATTAATAAATCCTGAAGGCTCAGCGTTCATTGAGCCCAGGAGGTCTTGTCCCGGCATCAGAGGCCGGGCTCCCTAAATCAAAAACCAAAGAAACAAATGACACGTAATACTCCCCTAAGGGTTTGAAATGTTGTGTCCACTTGTTTTATTTTGTTAATGCACTTTAAATTGTAAAGATTTGCCTTTATTTTAAAACAATTTTAACCTTGTGTCCTTTTTGCACTACACTAGAGATCTGTTGTTAAAAAAAGTAACAAAAACCCTGTTCACACATACAGAAATCTTCTGAAAAACTCTGGAGATTAGGCTACCTGGAGGGTATATGTGAATGCAAAAAGCCAAATTTTTCGCACGGACTTTACCCGGAGTTTGTCCTGCTGGACCCATAGCATTTTATAGGCAGAAAGTCCAAGTGAGCTGATGTGAAAACACAGCAGCATATACTCCAGAGGATTCACCTCAAGCTTACCTCGAGACAATGGGACCCCAGTGACGTTTATATACAGTGACTGCCGCACGCTGCATAAAGTGTCTAGATGCGATCACTACGATTTGTTGCGTTGTTTTTTTTACGTCACGTCTTACCTCGGGAAATCCCCCGACTCCCCTCCCCTCTGACAGTGATCGTCTCCCACTGTGAGGAGCATATGTGAACGGGTAGGTCGGGAAAATCACCTGAGCGGTCCTCCTGTAATTATCTAGATATTATCTGGAGTGCATGTGAAAACGGCTTAAGTAACTTTTACTTCAAGTACAATTGAAACAAGTTGCTTTTTACTTTGACTTGAGGACATTTTTAATCTGGTACTTTTACCTTTACTTAAGTCAAATGCCATCTAAGTAACAGTACTTTGACTTGATTAGAATATTTGAGTACTCTTTCCACCTCTGCATGAATGTCGTATGTGATCGTCACTGCTGCTTCATCACATCTCTCAGTGCTGTTTGATCCATTAGAAGGTTACTCAGCACCATCTAGTGGTGTGACAGCAGAACTACATCATGTGATCAGCATGTTCCCTGACTGTGTCTCCACCACAGGTTAGACTGATTCTGACGTCACTCTGAAGTTATGAGGATGTGACGGCGTCCTCAGATCAAACACACACACCCCGGGACTGAGGATCGAGCAGCTGTTCGTCTCCACACATGAAGGTGTCTGTGAGCTGACCTGAACTACCTTCAACAGGTGAGAATCCTTCCAGAGTCTCCACATGTTTGATGATCAGGGTCACTGAACGCACGTTGTACTCCATCACTGGTTAACTGTAGAGATGTTTCTGGATGCTGATTGGCTGTTTGAAACATGTTGAAGGATTTCTCTCTGAGTTACAGAACTGTGTTTTAGAAAGATTGAGGGCCTCTATAGTTTGTGTTTGTGGAGTAGAACCAGCAGCAGTTTGATTAAAGTCTGAGTCGCACCACCAGGAAACAAGGCAGGGCAAGTCTGAATTGCTCTGAGAGTCTGAACTGGTCTGACAACCTGGATCCACTCGGCTCAGCTGTTTGTTTTTTTAACTGTTGACACTCTGAAGTGAAGAGAGTGGATGAAGAGTTCAGAATATCTTCCAAAGCTGACTCTGTGTCACTGAAGACCTTTCAGCACGGTCCAGGTCTGAACTGTCCCCAGAAGCTGCAAATCCTGTCTGGATGGACCAGATCCAGACCAGGATGAGGTGGACTGAGTGTTTGTGTAAGGCCCCTCCCCCGCTATCAGGGGCAGAAACAGAAACTGAGACCGGTACTGTGTCAGGTTTTTATTCCACACATTTGGCTCATCAGATCCTCTTTGGGGCTCCAACCTTTTGGGGTTTCTGTCAGTCCTGGATCTTTGAGTCATGTTACTGAGAGGACAGAGAACTGATGTGTCCCTGTGATGTGATGTTTGTGTGAAGGTTGGGGCTCTGCTATGAATCAGTCTGAGGACAGAGACGAGGGAGCCCCTCCCTCTAAATCCACTCTGTGTGGGGAACATGAAGACCAGACCAGGTGAGGATCTCTAACTGTCCACGACTCTACTCCATGTTGGAGCTCAGAAATCACTGATCTCTCCACCTTCATTATTCACTCAAAGCTCTCTCTCGCTCTGTCCCCCGCTCTCTCTCTCTGATGAAGACCAGAGCAGCAGAACAGACCTGGGCCTGAACATAAACATGAACCTGGACCTGCTCCCAGCTTGGTGTCCCTGAAAAGTGATGCATCTGTTCAACGATTTATCGAGTTCAAAGGACAGCCCTCTGCTGAGGGGGGGTAAGGATATATATTGTCTATGTCATGATTTGGTCTTTTTAAGTTTTGTATTTTCAGAGTTTAGATTTCTTTGTTTAGTTTTCTCTTCCCTGGGCTTGATTCACTTGTGTGTTTCTTTTTCTTAATGTTCCCTAGTTTAGTCTTCAGTGTTTCCTGTTTTATTTTGTTGTTCTTGTCCTCAGTGTTTCTTGTCTAACTTCCTTCCTCTGTGTTTCCCTCCAGTTTTGATAGGCCTCATTGGGCATACGCATAGAGATTCATCAATTTATTCTAACTCTGTGAACAAAGTTAGACCGTCCTCAGACCGTGCGTACACACTGATGAGGAAGGACCAGCTTTCTCAGAATAAATAATACATACAATAATACAAGGTAGGAGCTACCTACCATGAGCTGCCATCAGCCCAGAACCTAAAACACTGGATGCACAGGGACCCATCAAGCCCATTGTGTTCAGAGACAGCTACTTTAAGGCATATTCAGTCAGGCTGTAAGATTAGTCTGTCCCAAGGTCCAGTGCTATAAACAAGTGCTGGTACTCATCTCATTTACCTGTTGTTAGTGTTTCACACAGACACATACCTCTGTATCACTACATCATCATGGTCAACGTCCAGCTTTCACAATTAATTTAGTTGTTCAGCCTTGTGAGCACCAAATGCAGATATTAAACACCCCAAGTCTCTGTTGTGGTTGTACTGCCTGTAAGCTGACTGTTACGTGCCGTAGTGTTTGATACAGATTTTATCATACGGACGGCTTCCCTGACCTGCTGCTTCAGCCCTACCCGGCCCTCTGGTTCTGTAGGGCTCAGGTCGGGTTGCAGACCTCTAATCCCGAGCACTGCCGAGGTGCCCTTGAGCAAGGCACTGAACCCCCAACTGCCCTGGTGCGCTCTCTGCTTAGCAGCCCCTCTCTGACATCTCTCCACCAATGCATATCCAGAGTTCCTGTTTGTTCATGCGTGTTATTTGGGCCTATGTGTGTGAGAAGCATGTCCCTATAAATAACAGAGTGTAAACCTGAATTTCCCTCAGGGATTAATAAAGGATATCAAAATAAAAAAATAAAAATCTCCACAACCTTATATATTATATTTCCAGCAAGTTTTTCTGTGTGTCTGCAGGGCCCTGCACTTATGCCCCTTTATGGGCGGATACATATGCTAACTGGGAACAAAGGGCACATGCTTTTAACTTAAGAACAGAAGGAGATAAGAACATAGCTGAAAACAATTCAGTCATTTATGAACATGTTGGTGACTCTGACGGAGAGTCTTCTCTTGACACATTCTTAAGAACATATTGGTGAATGAGGCCCAGTGGTGTAGTGCAGGGTATACACAGGTATATACCCACTTCTTTAGGCACCACTACACCACTGATGAGGCCCCCTGATATATTAGCTGATGCTAGCTAGTGTTGTTGTTAAACATACTGTTACATTATGTTTACTGTATGTCAACTGGACACAATGTTATGAACTTTGAATCTTGCTAATATACCATTAGCTTTCTTGCTAACAGTGGCACAGAATCATGCAGTGCTCCTGAGCTGAGCAGAGATACCTCCAGTGGCCAAGTTGTATTTCATATCTATTCTATTTTCTGCAGTAGAGAACAACATTTCATTCAATAAATCCTAATGTGATTTAATAATAAAATGTTTATATTCACCCTCAGGCTTGGAGCAGGAAAAAGAGAAGCCGGTTCTTCAAACATTTTAGTTTCATACATATCGGATGAATCTGGCCTCCATGTCAACAATTGATTGCTGAATGACAATAACTGGTCAGGCATTATAGGAATAATGAATGTCTTTTGTGTTCCTACCATAACTTGTTGTGAAACAATGTCTATCTGTTTCCTCCTGCAGGGTTCATCAGCAGGCCTCTGAGGGTCCCAGTGGTCAGACGAACCTGGACTCCACATTTAGAGTGTGTACATTAACAAGCTGTGACGGCCATTCATGAATTTACTGGTGCTTGGGAGATGAGACACACCTGGGCCCGATGTGACTCATAATTATATCAGAGCAGCAGTCAGGGTTTTTGGGAGACCTCAGGAGAGACTTGTCCAACCCACACATCTTTGCTTTTTGGTTTCTTTGTAATGGGTCTGTCACAGATGATCTGATTTAAAGTTTAAGTTTATTTGTTTCTGTTCCAGCTGCTGGAGGAGAACATTGTCAGTTATGTGAAGAACGAGCTGAAGAAGATTCAGAGAGTTCTGAGTTCAGATTACCCAGAATGCTTAGAGAGACAGAGGGCGGACGAGGAGGTGTTGGACAGTGAGGAGGAGGAGCAGAGGAGGAGCAGCAGAGAGGCTTTTCTGAAGATCACTCTCCACTTCCTGAGGAGAATGAAGCAGGAGGAGCTGGCTGACTGCCTGCAGAGCAGTAAGATGATTTTAACAGATTTCACATGATGGAAAGAGGAAATGGAGGCAACATTGTTTACATTTAAAACTCAGCTGTTACTATGAAGAACATATTTATATCAGATCTATGAACTGAGAGAAACGGTTCATACTGATGGGCTGAAGAGATTTCAGAGAGAAAGAAAAGAAAAACCATGCTGAAGTCTCAAAGTTTAAATTGTTCTGATTGATTGCAGCTGATTAATTACATCTCTTATTTATTCATTCAGGAGCTGTAGCTTCAGAGTGCAGATGCAAACTGAAGTCTAATCTAAAGGAGAAGTTCCAGTGTGTGTTTGAGGGGATTGCTAAAGCAGGAAACCCAACCCTTCTGAAGCAGATCTACACAGAGCTCTACATCACAGAGGGAGGGACTGGAGAGGTCAATGATGAACACGAGGTCAGCCAGATTAAAACAACATCCAGGAAACCACACAGACCAGAAACAACCATCAGACAAGAAGACATCTTTAAAGCCTCACCTGGAAGAGATGAACCAATAAGAAGAGTGATGACAAAGGGAGTGGCTGGCATCGGGAAAACAGTCTTAACACAGAAGTTCTCTCTGGACTGGGCAGAAGACAAAGCCAACCAGGACATACAGTTCACATTTCCATTCACTTTCAGACAGCTGAATGTGCTGAAAGAGAAAAAGTTCAGCTTGGTGGAACTTGTTCATCACTTCTTTAATGAAACCAAAGAAGCAGGAATCTGCAGGTTTGAAGAGTTCCAGGTTGTGTTCATCTTTGACGGTCTGGATGAGTCTCGACTTCCTCTGGACTTTAAAAACAATGAGACCCTGACTGATGTCACAGTGTCCACCTCAGTGGATGTGCTGCTGACAAACCTCATCAGGGGGAACCTGCTTCCCTCTGCTCGCCTCTGGATAACCACACGACCTGCAGCAGCCAATCAGATCCCTCCTGAGTGTGTTGACATGGTGACAGAGGTCAGAGGGTTCACTGACCCACAGAAGGACGAGTACTTCAGGAAGAGATTCAGAGATGAGGAGCAGGCCAACAGAATCATCTCCCACATCAAGACATCCAGAAGCCTCCACATCATGTGCCACATCCCAGTCTTCTGCTGGATCACTGCTACAGTTCTGGAGGATGTGCTGAAGACCAGAGAGGGAGGAGAGCTGCCAAAGACCCTGACTGAGATGTACATCCACTTCCTGGTGGTTCAGTCCAAACTGAAGAACATCAAGTATGATGGAGGAGTTGAGACAGATCCACACTGGAGTCCAGAGAGCAGGAAGATGATTAAGTCTCTGGGAAAACTGGCTTTTGAGCAGCTGCAGAAAGGAAACCTGATATTCTATGACTCAGACTTGACAGAGTGTGGCATCGATATCAGAGCAGCCTCAGTGTACTCAGGAGTGTTCACACAGATATTTAAAGAGGAGAGAGGACTGTACCAGGACAAGGTGTTCTGCTTCGTCCATCTGAGTGTTCAGGAGTTTCTGGCTGCTCTTCATGTTCATCTGACCTTCATCAACTCTGGAGTCAATCTGATGTCAGAAGAAAAAACATCCAGGATGTCTAAAATCTTTGGAGACAGACATAAACTAAAACGTCTCCACCAGAGTGCTGTGGACCAGGCCTTACAGAGTCCAAATGGACACCTGGACTTGTTCCTTCGCTTCCTCCTGGGTCTTTCATTGCAGACCAATCAGAATCTCTTGAGAGGACTGCTGGCAGATAAAGGAAGTACCTTACAGACCAATCAGAAAACAGTCCACTACATCAAGACGAAGATCAGTGAGGATCTGTCTGCAGAGAAAAGCATCAATCTGTTCCACTGTCTGAATGAACTGAATGATCATTCTCTAGTGGAGGAGATCCAACAGTCCCTGAGATCAAGACGTCTCTCCACAGATAAACTGTCTCCTGCTCAGTGGTCAGCTCTGGTCTTCATCTTACTGTCATCAGAAAAAGATCTGGACGTGTTTGACCTGAAGAAATACTCTGCTTCAGAGGAGGCTCTTCTGAGGCTGCTGCCAGTGGTCAAAGCCTCCAACAAAGCTCTGTAGGTGGATGCAGTTAAACATTTATTTATATGTTCATGACAGATTAAAAATGTGTTTGTACTCATCACTCATTCTTCTTCAGGTTGAGTGGTTGTAACCTCTCAGAGAGAAGCTGTGAAGCTCTGTCCTCAGTCCTCATCTCCCAGTCCTCTAGTCTGAGAGAGCTGGACCTGAGCAACAACAACCTGCAGGATTCAGGAGTGAAGCTGCTGTGTAGTGGTTTAGAGACTCTGCACTGTACACTGGAAACACTCAGGTCAGAGCCTTGTTCTTCTAAAAGTTTACCCAATAATCTTGCATGTACTTCTTTTATTTGATATTCTAATTACTTACCAAAAATATCATCTTCAGGCTGAGTGTCTGTACCCTCTCAGAGAGAAGCTGTGAAGCTCTGTCCTCAGTCCTCATCTCCCAGTCCTCTAGTCTAAGAGAGCTGGACCTGAGCAACAACAGCCTGCAGGATTCAGGAGTGAAGCTGCTGTGTAGTGGTTTAGAGACTCTGCACTGTACACTGGAAACACTCAGGTCTGAGCCTTGTTCTTCTAAAAGGTTACCCAATAATCTTGCATGTACTTCTTTTATTTGATATTCTAAATACTTACCAAACATATCATCTTCAGGCTGAGTGTTTGTACCCTCTCAGAAAGAAGCTGTGAAGCTCTGTCCTCAGTCCTCATCTCCCAGTCCTCTAGTCTGAGAGAGCTGGACCTGAGCAACAACAACCTGCAGGATTCAGGAGTGAAGCTGCTGTGTAGTGGTTTAGAGACTCTGCACTGTACACTGGAAACACTCAGGTCAGAGCCTTGTTCTTCTAAAAGTTTACCCAATAATCTTGCATGTACTTCTTTTATTTGATATTCTAATTACTTACCAAAAATATCATCTTTAGGCTGAGTGTCTGTAACCTCTCAGAGAGAAGCTGTGAAGCTCTGTCTTCAGTCCTCAGTTCCCAGTCCTCCAGTCTGAGAGAGCTGGACCTGAGTAACAACAACCTGCAGGATTCAGGGGTGAAGCTGCTGTCTGCTGGACTAGAAAGTCGACAATGTAGACTGGAGACTCTCAGGTCAGTATCAGCTGGTTGTTGAACACTTGATTGTCTTACCTGTCAGTTTACACAACTCTACGGAGCCATGTTAGGATACGGTCCTCAGCTCAGATGATCGTTAACAAGCCATAAACGAAATAAACAGACCAAAAGCTGCCTCTATCATACACCTGTTAATGGGTATGGCAGCAGTAGAGCATGAATATCTTGGCAGGTGACTCACAGACTCAGCGTCAGTTCACTGTGTGCTCTGATAAAGAGCTGCTCTAATGTGATGACATACAGACTTTTATAAAGTTCATTGAAAACCGAAAACACATCCAACAAACACTACTGCATTTGCACGCCATAATGATGCTTAAACGTTATATCACACAGACATAGTTTAAATTCTTTTTTGTTTTGTCATGATTTGGTCTTATTTAGTTTTGTATTTCAGCGTTCAGGTTTCCATGTTTTAAATTCTCCTGTCCATCCTGGTGTTGCTTGGTTCCGTAATGTGTTTTTGTATTCATGTTCCCTGGTGTTTGTTTCCCTTGTGTGTTTCCTAGATTAGTCTTCAGTGTTTCCTGTGTTATTTTGTATCCTGGTGTCCCTCTATGTTCTAGTCTATATTATTGTTAAATTATTTAGTTCTCTGTGATTTGTGTTCTTGATTTATGTATCAAGTCAGATGTGTTAGTTCTTGTATGTAGTTTGTTGGTTTGTCAGATGTTTGTTAGTTGTTGTAAGTTCAGAGTAGTTGTCCGTCAATGTCAGAGTTTCTAGTGTTTCCAGTGTTTCCTTGTTGCTCCTTGTTTTCCCTTTTTGGATTTTTGAAGAAAGTTTTGTTTGCCCTTTGGCCTTTTTGTTTTGGTTATTCTGCACTTGGGTCCACCTCCCTTGTTTTACACACCGATCCATGGCACCTTTAGGTTTTAACAAGTGAAGATTGTAAACTTCTGTATGTTTTTTACACTGATCTGATTTAGCTAACCATCTTTTTAAACTCCAGTCTGTCAGGCTGTCTGATCACAGAGGAAGGCTGTTCCTCTCTCGCCTCAGCTCTGAGCGTCAACCCCTCCCACCTCAGAGAGCTGGACCTGAGCTTCAATCATCCAGGAGACTCAGGAGAGAAGTTCCTGCTGGCTGTACTGGAGGATCCACTGTGGAAACTGGACACTCTCAGGTATAAACAGATAACAGGAGCACTCCATCTAATGTGTATTCAACTGATTTTCTTAATGTCAAGATTATTAAGTTTACATTCATGAGCTCATCCTGTTAATTCATCAGTCGATTTAGTGTAGTCAGTATAAAATGAAACGATCAAATGAAGTCACTTTTTTTGTTCTGTCTAAACTCATGGATGTGTCTCTTAAGGCTTTGACGTCTGTTCATCATTCAACACTTTCTATCACAGAGTTATTTAACATTCAAAGAGGTCCACTTACGAACCGGAAAACCATAATGTCTAACTTATTTTAATGACTCTTTACATACTTTATTAATCTCTGAGGGAAATTCTGGTTTACACTCTGTTATTGAGAGACATGCTTCTCATACAGATGAACCTGAAATACACAAACAGGACCTGTGGACGTGCATTAATGGAGAGATGTCAGAGTGGAGCTGCTACAAGCTGCTAAGCAGAGAGTGCATCAGAGCTGTTGGGGGTCTAATCAAAAACTGACTGTCAATCACATGAAACAGAACAATGCAGTCGTATTACTACACTAGTTATTATGAATGTGAGACTCAGGAAACTGTAATTATAACCCTGAAATAAAACGTTAAGATTATCGCTCTCATTTCAAAGACAATAATATATGCATTAAAGAAACTACTACAAAGTCTTTTAAAGGGGTCATATTTAGCTTTTTCTGGTTTTATATCCTCTTTAGTATGTTTTCCATGTGTCCTGTGCATGTTTAGGCACATCTATGTGCAAAAAGTCAAAGTCCACGGAAACGCGGCTTCTCCTACGTCTTCCTGTTAGCTGTAGCATTAGCTGCATGTAAAGCTCGGCCCCCCTCGACATTTTGTTTGCCAGTGTGATGTCTTGTCAGAGTGATATCACTGATCTAAGCCCATTGGCTCGTTGTGGCAAGCCCAGCAGCTCATGTTGCACGCCCATTAACTTCTGTAGCACGCCCACGATATGTCGTAGCCTGTGGTAGCACAGTAGTGCTGAAGTGCTAATGTTTTTGCTACCCTCGGAGCCAAAGTGGCTGCATTCCCTATATGGTAAAAGGGGCGTGACATTTCCGAGAACCGTGCTGAGTGACTGACCATTCACTACAGAGCCGACAGGCCGACCAATCAGATCAGACTTGGCACACGTGGGGACTCTGAACCTGGGCACTTCAGAGCCTTAGAGAGAGAGTCAGAAGCGAGCCGGTGCATGGAGCGGCAGTTCATGAAAACAGACACTTTTTTCAAACTTTAGCTATTGTGAACATACTTTAATAGGTACATAGATTAAATATATGAACCCCAAAAAAGGGCATAATATGACCTCTTTAAGTGTTTAGAGACAGATGAAATAGAAGGTGTAGTTTGAGTTTCTCTTTTCCTTGTTGGTTGTCAGGATTCTGGTGGATAGATGGTACTGGGCTGAGGAACACTGCTTCATGTTGAACAGCAGTTAGGACTCATGTTAGACAGATAATCACTCTGACTGTGTTTCTTCCTCCAGGATGAACCATGGGGGAGAGCAGAGGTTAAAACCTGGTGTGAAGAAGTGTAAGCGTGGAATCAGTTTGACTCATGATGACCAAACAGCTGACTGTCAGGTGACAAAGAATGAAGCCTTCATGGGCCCGTTTCAGAAAGCAGGTTTTGAGCAAACACTGAGTCAGTTAACCCTGAAATGAGGGAAACTCTGAGTTCCCATTTCAGAGGGGGAGGTCCCTCAAACCTGAGAAAGAGGGGTAACCCTAGCCCTTTCGAGATGGAGAGGTAACCTTACCTCTCAGTCTGGTCGGGAGCAGGTTTTCTTCAGGGTGTATTCAGGACCAGGAAAGTCCTTTAGTTCGCTTTCTTTGGTCCGGATCAAATACAATGTTTCTTTTTTGGTTTGGTGCGGTTCGTTTTCACAATGCACTTTTCGCAAGATGCCCAGAATTTGTAAACAAAACCATGTGTGCAAAGAGAGTTCAATCATTGGACAAAAAGGTCTGGTGTGGGGTAAAGCGGTTATCGCAAAATGAAAGTAAACAATCATGGAGATCTTGCATGCTGCACTCGTCCTGGCATTGAACATTTTGAGCAGCAAGAGCGTTTGATACTGTAACAGTGCCACATAATAATTGAGTGTCTGTAAAAATGATTAGTTATGGCTAGAATGTTTCAAAGAATAACAAATAGTAGGCCTATTGTTATTTAAACATTTGCAGCCTTATAAAGGCAGGATGTTGCGCAGGGAAAGTGAGGAGAATCAGCGTGCTGCGGGGGAAAATAACAAAAAGTGAAGCGCCAGGAACACGTTGCTGCAGCTGCTGTTATGTTCATAGTCTGTGTGGTTTAAAAGTGTTGGCTAATGATAGAGAGGAGCGCTGAAACACCTGTTGTAAGTGTCTGAAAGATAGACAGACGATGGTTTGTATTCATACAAAGATCTGCGCCAGGATTTTAGTTTGTTTCAAAAGAACTAAACACGGTAGAAGTGAATACACCCTCAGTAAACCCTTAGTTTCTCTCTGACTCCACCCTCTTTCAGAGCTAGAAACGCTGCTTCGATTCCTCATTCTTTCATTCAAGTCTGTATCATGCGTGGGTTAGTGAGGATTCTAAGATATTATATGTTAGTTAGGCTATTATAGCTTACAAAACAAATATATTTTGAAGAACATGAAATGTCTTTTCGTCAAGGAGCCTAGCGATGAAGGGGCTGCGGAGTAATGCCGCCCCTTCATGAAAGGTCTAATGTTTGCTTTTTATCGTCGTGGTGCATGCACTGAACACTGAGTGAACCTACTCAGAGTTGATTTCACTCAAATCAGCTGATCTAGAACCAAAAACTTCCCCACCTGAGAGTAAATCGCCTCAGAGCTCAGAGTCAGACTGATAGTTTGTTAAACCTGCTTTCTGAAATGGGCCCCTGGGGTGTCTGATGATAAACTGCTGCTTTGTGTCTTTTTCTCTCCATCAGATTTCTGTGAACTCACACTGGATCCAAACACAGCAAACAGAAACCTCAAACTGTCTGACAACAACAGGGAGGTGACACATGTAACGGAGGATCAGTCATACCCTGATCATCCAGACAGATTTGACAAATATCCTCAGCTGCTGTCTAGAAATGGTCTGACTGGTCGCTGTTACTGGGAGGTTGAGTGCAGAGGAGGTGTTGACATATCAGTGTCTTACAGAGGAATCAAAAGGAAAGAATACAGTAAAGATTGTTTGTTTGGATGGAACAATCAGTCCTGGAATCTGACCTGCTGTGATGAAGGTTTCTCTGTCCGTCACAATGGCAGTAAAACAGCTCTCCCTCTCTCCTCCTCCTCCTCTGTCTCTAACAGAGAAACAGTCCGTCCTCTCTCCTCCTGGTCCTCTGTTTCTAACAGAGTAGCAGTGTATGTGGACTGTCCTGCTGGCTCTCTGTCCTTCTACAGAGTCTCCTCTGACACACTGATCCACCTCCACACCTTCAACACCACATTCACTGAACCTCTGTATGCTGGTTTTGGTTTGTGGTCTTATGGTTCTTCAGTGTCTCTGTGTTCTCTGTAGGAGGGACTTCAGTCCTGGAGTCTTTATGTTGGTGGACGAGCAGGGCTTTCTTTTTTTTGTTTGTTCAAAGATCGGTTGGTTATTATTATGGTATTGTTGGGGGGCTAGCCAGATGAGAAAAAAAACACTGATTTCCAGCATGCCCTGCAAAAACCCTCCTGGTACCTGAAGAACAAGGACACACAAGAAACTCCTTTTGTACCCACAAAGGCTCTGTTTGTAGATATTTTATGAGCTGTAGTTTAGTTTATTGATTGAGTTTCTTTAATTGCAGTTGATGTTGCTTTGTTAAATAAATTATATATTATATTATATAATAAATATAATTATGTAATAATTTAAAGAGCAGTTGTCTGTGATTACTGGTGGATGTGCTTTGTAATTAAGCTGGGTGGAAAAACTTAAACCTATTCAATAAAATACAGGTATTAATTAAATATTAATGACATAGGATAGGATAATAGTTTATTGATCCACAGAGGGGAAATTCTGGGGTTACAGCAGCACAAAAACAGTTGAAAAGGTCATAGAAAATACAATAAAAATTAATATATGATCTGTCTTTCCACAAGTGAAAGTGTAGTGTATATGCCTGGTATTATTGTATTTCTATTGTATTTTTCTTCCTTTATTTATTTAATGTAAACATGTTTGTTGTTGTTTTATTACGCTTTTTGCTATTGATGCTGTTTATATTCCTGTATTTGAGCTGTTTTAACAACAAAATTTTCCCCATTGTGGATCAATAGGTTTTTTAAAACTCATCTTGTCTATCATGGTAGTTTTTATTCCGGTGAAGTGGTTGTCAGGACAGACTGGTGTTGTTGTCAGACTGCTGTTGTACAGTCTAATGGCGGTGGGCACAAAGGAGCGCCTGAAGTTCTCTGTTTTGCACCTCGGTGGAATGAGGCGTTGGCTGAAAAAGCTGCTCATCTGCCACAGCTCATCATGGAGAGGGTGAAGGAGTTATCAAAGATGGATATGATTATTGAATTAATTTGAGACTGATTTTGGTGCAATTTGGTTATTGTTCCCTGCTTTTAGGGCGGTACCCCACTTTTATTAACTACATTTAATAATATTGTTAATTTATATTAATAATTAATTAAGGATACTTATTAATATTATTTTTTATGACCAACTTTGACTAGATAAAACCTAACATAGTTGTTATGTTATGCGTATGCACTGTTTGTGAACAAGGCCCAATGAGGGCAATCAAAACTGGAGGGAAACACAGAGGCAGGAAGTTAGACAAGACACTGAGGTTCTCAGCTTTGAGGTGTATTAGCTCCGCAAAACCCCAACATAATGGTGCCCCGTGTGAGGTCCTCAATAAACCATCTTCATCATATTTTAATACTGAAAAAAAGAAATGTATTTCAGTTTTAATACTTGCAACAATCCACAAGTGTGCTTTAACAACCTCTCTCCCTCAGTTTTCCTCATGCAGCTCTCTCAGTGTGCTGGTAGGTCACCGCCCACTCGCTCACATTTTCTCTCTCTCTCTCTCTCGACATGCTCACTCCATGCGTGCTCAACTTTGCCAGTTCGCTCGCTCAACACTGCAAGCTGTTACAAATGTGCCACAAAATCAACCAAGAAGTGCTGTTCTGCTAAAGCTCAGAGCGTTAAAAACATTAATTCAGGAAAGTTTTTCACAATAAAAGCCCCTTATTGCCATCTCTTTGATGTACTTTTAATTTGAAGCAGACATATCCGGACACCAGGTGTTTTTAATCTGTAGCAATTTAACAGACCTCATGAGTGTGAAAATCAAAACTTCAAATCAGATTCAGTTAGAAGCTTTATTGTAGCCAGCTTAGAGGGGAACACAATGACTTATTGAAGAAAATATCTCATAGAAGCTCATACAGGGTCCATTGAAAACAATCAATCCATTATTTTGACTCTCAGGACTTTCAGTATTTTCTTCAATAGTTTCAACATTTCCATTCATAAATCAGCCCATCACTTTAACATTATAAGCCTTGATTATTAGACATCATGAAACATGCTGCTGGTTAAAAAAAGGTGTAAACAAAGTGTCCTGTTGTCTATGTTGATGTTTTTGTAAAGAACATGTTTCTCTGAAAACACTCTTGTTACAGTTTTTAGCTTTTGTCTTTTGTATGCAATATTAATTTCCTTCACAAGTCACAAACTCTTTAATTGATCAAGTGAACAAACTACTTTCGTTTGGTTTTAGACTTTTAAAATAAATTTTTTATATCATGCAACAAGTTTTTGTCTTGTGTTACAAAACGATCAACCTTTTTGATCTAACCCTCAGGAAATCCCTCGAATATTTGAGTGCTCTTTCCACCTCTGCATGAATGTCGTATGCGATCGTCACTGCTGCTTCATCACATCTCTCAGTGCTGTTTGATTCATTAGAAGGTTACTCACCACCATCTAGTGGTGTGACAGCAGAACTACATCATGTGATCAGCATGTTCTCTGACTGTGTCTCCACCACAGGTTAGATTGGTTCTGACGTCACTCTGAAGTTATGAGGATGTGACGGCGTCCTCAGATCAAACACACACACCCCCGGGACTGAGGATCGAGCAGCTGTTCGTCTCCACACATGAAGGTGTCTGTGAGCTGACCTGAACTACCTTCAACAGGTGAGAATCCTTCCAGAGTCTCCACATGTTTGATCAGGGTCACTGAACGCACGTTGTACTCCATCACTGGTTAACTGTAGAGATGTTTCTGGATGCTGATTGGCTGTTTGAAACATGTTGAAGGATTTCTCTCTGAGTTACAGAACCGTGTTTTAGAAAGATTGAGGGGCTCTATAGTTTGTGTTTGTGGAGTAGAACCAGCAGCAGTTTGATTAAATTCTGAGTCGCTCAGAGTTTCAGAGTTCAGAGGAAGCTCTTCTGAGGCTGCTGCCTGTGGTCAAAGCCTCCAACAAAGCTCTGTAGGTGAATGAATTAAACATTTATTTATATGTTCATGACAGGTTAAAAAATGTGTTTGTACTCACCACCCATTCTTCTCCAGGCTGACTGGTTGTAACCTCTCAGAGAGAAGCTGTGAAGCTCTGTCCCTCAGTCCTCAGCTCCCAGTCCTCCAGTCTGAGAGAGCTGGACCTGAGTAACAACAACCTGCAGGATTCAGGAGTGAAGCTGTTTTCTGCGGGACTAAAGAGTCCGCTCTGTAGACTGGAGACTCTCAGGTCAGTATCAGCTGGTTGTTGGACACTTGATTGTCTTACCTGTCAGTTTACACAACTCTACGGAGCCATGTTAGGATGTCCTCAGCTCAGATGATCGTTAACAAGACATAAACGAAATAAACAGACCCAAAAGCTGCCTCCATCATACACCTGTTAATGGGTATGGCAGCAGTAGAGCATGAATATCTTGGCAGGTGACTCACAGACTCAGCGTCAGTTCACTGTGTGCTCTGATAAAGAGCTGCTCTAATTCGATGACATACAGACTTTTATAAAGTTCATTGAAAACAGAAAATACATCCAACAAACACTACTGCATATGCACACATCACCATAGTGATGCTTAAACGTTATATCACACAGACATAGTTTAAATTCTTCTTATGTTTTGTCATGATTTGGTCTTATTTAGTTTTGTATTTCAGCGTTTAGGTTTCCATTTTTTAATTTCTCCTGTCCATCCTGGTGCTGCTTGTTTCCCTAGTGTGTTTTTGTATTAATGTTCCCTGGTGTTTGTTTCCCTTGTGTATTTCCTAGATTAGTCTTCAGTGTTTCCCGTGGTATTTTGTATCCTGGTGTCCCTCTATGTTCTAGTCTATATTATTGTTAAATTATTTAGTTCTCTGTGATTTGTGTTCTTGATTTATGTATCAAGTCAGATGTGTTAGCTCTTGGATGTAGTTTGCTGGTTTGTCAGATGTTTGTTAGTTGTTGTAAGTTCAGAGTATGTCAGAGTTTCTAGTGTTTCCAGTGTTTCCTTGTTGCTCCTTGTTTTCCCTTTTTGGATTTTTGAAGTAAGTTTTGTTTGCCCTTTGGCCTTTTGGCCTGCACTTGGTTCCACCTCCCTTGTTTTACACACTAATCCATAACACTTTTAGGTTATAACAACTGAAGATTGTAAACTTCTGTATGTTTTTTACACTGATCTGATTTAGCTAACCATCTTTTTAAACTCCAGTCTGTCAGGCTGTCTGATAACAGAGGAAGGCTGTTCCTATTTGGCCTCAGCTCTGACAGCCAACCCCTCCCACCTCAGAGAGCTGGACCTGAGCTTCAATCATCCAGGAGACTCAGGAGAGAAGTTCCTGCTGGCTGTACTGGAGGATCCACTGTGGAAACTGGACACTCTCAGGTATAAACAGATAACAGGAGCATTCCATCTAATGTGTATTCAACTGATTTTCTTAATGTCAAGATTATTAAGTTTACATTCATGAGCTGATCCTGTTAATTCATCAATCGATTTAGTGTAGTCAGTATAAAATGAAACGATCAAATGAAGTCACTTTTTTTGTTCTGTCTAAACTCATGGATGTGTCTCTAAAAGCTTTGACGTCTGTTTATCATTCAACACTTTCTATCACAGAGTTATTTAACATTCAAAGAGGTCCACTTACGAACCAGAAAACCATAATGTCTAACTTATTTTAATGACTCTTTACATACTTTATTAATCTCTGAGGGAAATTCTTGTTTACGCTCTGTTATTAAGCGACATGCTTCTCATATACATGGACCTGAAATACACAAACAGGACCTGTGGACGTGCATTAATGGAGAGATGTCAGAGTGGAGCTGCTACAAGCTGCTAAGCAGAGAGTGCATCAGAGCTGTTGGGGGTCTAATCAAAAACTGACTGTCAATCACATGAAACAGAACAATGCAGTCGTATTACTACACTAGTTATTATGAATGTGAGACTCAGGAAACTGTAATTATAACCCTGAAATAAAACGTTAAGATTATCGCTCTCATTTCAAAGACAATAATATATGCATTAAAGAAACTACTACAAAGTCTTTTAAAGGGGTCATATTTTGCTTTTTCTGGTTTTATATCCTCTTTAGTA